TGGAGAAAAATATTGGTAAAGAGTTAATAATCCTAATGTATGACACTGAACATTGAAGTGAAAGCTGAGTTAGCAGATTTTTGGAATAAAATGGTGGTAATTTGTTATCCTCCCAATGCTTCCCCTTGTCAGCCCCCTACAACTCCTATGATAGAACTATTAAATACTATCATTTCTTAGGATACGCAAAAAGGAGAGACCTTCATGTGCACAATTTTCATTTTCCTTCTCTGTATTCATTTAACTAATTTTAAAAAGAAAGGGGAAAATATTTTACACAGATTATTCTAGATCCTCTTGCATCTTTTGAAAATTGTTATTTGACATATCCGAAAAGCTGTCTGTTAGCCATAGAAAAGTCTTGGTGACACGAAGTCCTAAACTCTGTGGGCCTGGAAAATCTATCTGACCATCTTTTGTTACATATGTCCCGTTGACACCTGAGTTCCTTAGTAAAGGCCTTATTGGTTGCTCCTCAAACCACCCTCTGGAACACTCTTCTCTGCATGATAGAATAATAATAATTTGCATCAAGGATGAAAAAGCTGTCAAAAATGTGTTTGTTTATTATGGCCTTCTATGGCCAGTTATGATTACGATTGCTTTCTTTTTATGTCTTAGTTACTATGATGTCATTTATTTACTCTTAATTTCTTTCAAATTTCTTCTGTATCGTATTGCATTTGCACAGTAATGCAAACTGCTTAGAGATTTTATTATATTAAACAATATATAAATAAGTACTATAAAAAGATAAAGTAACCTTCACAGTTGAGAAGTTTTCACTGCCTTGCTACCAACTTATCGATATGTCAGTTAGAATAGACATACATAGTTGGCATTAGCCAAGAGATGTAACACCACAGCTTTCTAGATAATTATGGTGCAGTGTGGGATATGTACTTAGTACATGTGTCTATATTCCAGACAAGCCATGCACTAACTGGGTAGGCTTGAGAATATGCTTTTTAAAAAGAGAAATCTTTTGCACAGGTCTGTGGTGTTATTGTTACATTATGTGAGGGTAAATAAGAGAGACCCTTCTAGATGGTATAGTGATAGTGCTAATACAACTTGGACCTTTCAGAGAGGCACAGAACTGTGTTGGCCTCTATGCAAAAAAAAAAAATCCTGTGTAAATTTATTTTGAAGTTCCATTAAATAGGATTTATTCATTTATCTGTGAGTTTAAGATCGCAGCCTTATTATTGTCCATAGAGAACATTACCTGTTATTAGTTTGCAGGAGGTTTTCTTTTGCACACACCTCTGATTTTCTGTAATTGATTGTAAGGGGAAACTTACTAAAGTAAGAAAAAGGAGTATATGGATCAGATCTTGCCAATATTGTCTGTTTATTGTTAGATTGTCTTTCCTAAAAAAAACCATAGAGAATCTTAGCTGAGACACAGAGCAACACATTACAGGGTTTTATGCACTCTAAACAATGCATAAAAAGCAATCTTACACTTGATTACTCAGTTGTTGTTTGGGTAACTGAAGTGTGAAATGATTTATTTAGAGTTTTTTGGCAGCTTTATATAATTTGGTCTTGATTAGCTTCCTAAAACCAGATGGTCCTGGTGAACCCCTATAGGAAATTTGTTCCAGAAAAATGGGGCCACGACCAAGAAAGCTTGGTTTCTTGTGGTGCCCCCCTGTTGTTGTTGTTTTTTTTTTGTTTCCTTAAGTATTACAATTCTTAACATCAAGGACTGTGAGTAGCATGTGGGATGAGTAGCTATTTTGTGGAAGAGATGTTGCACCAGATATCAAGGTCTTAAACAATTAAGGATTTTATAGGTTATGACCAGTGCCTTATATTGAGCACAGAAACTAACAGGGAGTCAATGAAGGCGTGCCAAGACAGGGGACACATGTTAATATCTGCTGATAACTGTAATCAGTCTGGCTGTTGCATTTTGGACCTACTGAAGCTTCCTCACTGACCAGATAGGCGGGGTATAAATTAAATAAAATAAAAATAAATAAATAAAATACTGACTTCAAGGGCAGCCCTAAGTAGAGAACATTACAGTAATCTATTTTAGAGATTACAAACACATGAACCACTGTTTTAAGACTTTTTAAAATCCAGATAGAGGCACAGCTGGGCAATCAGCCAAAGATGATAGAAGACACTCTTTGCCACAGCACACATTTGTGCCTCCACAGAGAGAGCAAGAGTACAGTACCCCCGAACTGTGAACCTGACCCTTCAGGGGGAATGCAACCCCATTGAGGCTAGGTAAATATCTCTTAAACTGGTCCGATGAGCCTCACATTTGTAGAAGATCGGTCTTATCTAGATTTGGTTTCAGTTTGTTGGCCTTCATCCAGTCTATTATTAATGCCAAACAGTGTTTGGCACAATATCACCTACAGATGAGAAGGAGATATAGAGTCGTGTGTCATCCCTATATTGACAACAATCTCCATTATGACTTCTCCCAGCACTTCCAGATATTAAAGGGAATTAAAAAATGTTTAAGAAGAAGTGTAAAAATGATATTTACACATTCAGTTTCTGTTGAGGATTGTTTAACCATTTGATAAGAAACAAATGATAACTGCATAGAGTAATGAATATATACACACATACACAGACTCACGCCTATATATACTACAGGTGTGTATGAACCACACCTATAGTAAGTCTTTAGTATGTGATAAAAAGAAGTCTGCCTTGTTAAGCATAGATTTTCATGTCTTATAAATGGTTTGCTTTTAGCGTCAGTATTTTGGTAATTGTGTTTAAGTCATAGTAAATAGCCAGATGCCAAAACTGTGATATACCATTTGTCAAAAAGTCCTTTAGTGGAAGAATTTTCACTCTTTCAAAAACAGACTTGTCAATATTTGGGAGAGAACATTATAATGTTGCAGTCTGTGCATATTAGTAACATATGCAGAGAAGTGTTATGTTTTACATGTAAAGAAGAGTGAGAGAAGATGTAACTATGCTCCTAGATGAGTTACTATAGCTAGGCAAAAAGTGAGATTTTTATATGATTGAATTTGGAAGTTCCAAAAAAAGATTTATTTTTTCTTCAACACATTTCATTTTTTGTCATAATCTGTATAGTTGCAAACTAAAAATATTCCCTAAAGGGGTAGCCATATTTATCTGTTACCTCAAGGCTAATAGACTTATTGTAACAGGCGTTTCGGGCACTATTGCTCACTGCCTGTTTCATCAGATGAATGATGTTTTATACAGAATGTCAGGTATATACACAGATTAGGGGTTGCTTTTGTAGACGATGAAGTTAGAGGAGAAGTAAATATAGAAAGTTATTTCATAACTGTTATGGTATTAACACTCCCTATTGCAAAACTATTGCTTATAACAGAAACAGTAACTGGTCCTAGGTAAGACATATAACAACTATAATGTATTAAGAATCAGTTATCTCCAGTCAAATAGCTGGTGATAGGTTGAAACTTACTAATGTATTCTCAGTTTCTAGTGAAGTTTCTGTGTGCCTCAGTGGCTAAGGTGAGGGACAGAATGTGTTGTGCTGCTGATTTTCTAATATTGCCCTCAGTCAAATAGCTGGTGATAGGCTGAAACTTACTAATGTATTCTCAGTTTGTAGTGAAGTTTCTGTGTGCCTCAACAGCTAAGGTGAGGGACAGAATGTCCTGAGAGGTTGAAGTGTTGTGCTGCTGATTTTCTAATATTGCCATTTCTGATGTTAGATTTGTGTCCATTTGTTCTTTTGCATAGAAATAGGCTCCTTCATGCCATTTAAAATACAGGACAGCATTGCTGATAGAAGATGGCATGTATCACAGTGAAGATGAGCATGTGGATAAACTGATGGTGGATGACATTATAAAGTCTTATAGTGGTGTTACTATAGTAGCTATGAGGACAGAGTTGAAATCTGATATTCTAGTACAGTAGCATATGGGAAGTGATTCTAATTTTCCTGAATGATTTTTTTAATCCAGTAGTTTTTCTTTCTTGAATATGTGCCTAGATTAACCATTGATTGATATTATAAATAGAGAACTGAACCAGCAGTGTCAATTCAATCTTCGAAGGTTATTCAAATTATGAATATGTACAATGTATGTGGTAAATTAGAATACTTCATTTCTGTAACATCTAAGAGGTACTTTATCTTTGTAATTTGAAAGATGTGATGTCTCTGTGTATCTCTATTTCAGATTTTTTGACACCTCAGGCAGAAAAAGATGGATTGGGTGGCAGGGTGGTAGGCCAGGATGAATGAGATAAAAGGATCCAGTGCTGAATGTTGCCTGGTTTTTCTAAATCATTTCACAAAACGTGAAAGTCCTGCTCCTGCTGACACAAGGGCATGGAATGCCTTTATACTCTTCTGTGACTGTAACACTTTCCTTTTTAATTTAATATGGGTCCATTGATGATCTCTGGTGTTCCTCTGGGAGGAAGGGGGAGGGAAGCATTGGGCATATAACCAAAGATCATTTCTCTTCTTTATGGGAATGTCCTAAAGATAAATCTTGACATTCAAAACAAACTGCAGCTGATTCGAATGAAACTCTGCCTCTGCAACTTCATACTCCTCAATAATCTGTTTGAAAAGTATAAACTCTTCACTCGATATCCTTTTTAAAATATCTGTGTCAGTTTATAGACAGGTTGTTGCTGTTATAGAAGCTGGGCACGATCCAGTGATATACTTTTGCTAGATCCTGCTACTTACACTGGAACTGGCCGTCCTATAAACTTGCCCTGGAGAACTAGGAGACTGACCACTGGAATAGGAAATGGGACAAGTCTGTGGACACTGGATAGCTCATCACAGGATGTGGAAGTACACCAGTGGATCTTGGTTACTTCTCCCTCTTCAAATTTCCTCATATCCTTAGGAAGAGCAACATTTCTGGAATTGTTGACAAGCAAGGGAGAGTAGGAAAGTCATGTCAATATTGGGCTAAATTGTCCCTTCATTGCTTCCCTTGTCTTGTCAATCATATTGAAGCCTTTTCTCTTTTTGGCCATAACAGATAGAGAAGATGGGAGGAGACCGTTATTTTGCAACCTGTACCAGATACCTGCTGTCTTCTGCATCAATGAGGACCAGAAAGATGCTTGAAAACCAAAAGGTTAGAACATGAGCCATATGGTATAGAAAGCTTGTTGTGCAACAAATATTTCAATTGTGAGGCAATATGTCTACTTCACTGTTATGTGTACATTGTAGGATTTGTAACGACAGAAGGTATTCCTTTAGCAACTTAAGCTGTACAACCCTCAACTCAATTCCCAGAGATTGTATATGTTGGGATACAAGAATAAAGAACTGATCTTAAAAGGAGAGAAAGAGTGGTATCTGTATCATAAATGAGTTCATGCTTATTTCATCATTGTGACTTCCATGAACATTATTGAACCATGCACTCACTGTTCTGAAAATTTCTGAGAGATAGTGGAATACCAGATCACTTATTTAACATTAAGCTGAATTCAGTTGGGCTTGTTTCCAAGTTTGTGTGTACACTGTTTTAGTGAGAGGCTGAACTAACATGCACACATACTGCCAAATGAACCCTCTTAAACTTGAGAGTATGCATAGGATCAGGCTGCACATCTTAAATAATTTTGTTTTTTAATGTGCATGGGGGCAAAGACTTATTTGACAAGACAGAAGGCAGAGGTTTCTAAAGAGAGGAGAGTAGCAATCATTTCTGAATTTTTAGAATCTTGGGGGCATGACTTGACATCTCTAGGTTTTTTGCACAGATTCCTCAGTCTTTACCAACGCCTATGCATGACTCTGGTGTAGGGGTAAATTTTAAAGAATTTCAAAAACCATTTTAATATCCTTCAAAGTAGAAAGAAACAAAATAGTCCTTTTAAAAGGACTATATACCCTCTCATTCCTTGTATGTCCCCCTTGTGTTTCTTTGTTTGGAATTATTGGTTTAAAAGAAAGTCATAAATCATCTAATCATCTGGAGAAGGCTTGTTTTTCAGTTGTAGTGTGCACGCCAGTGTGCACAAACATACATGCACACCTTTGCTTTCCAGCCTATTGTTGTAATTGAATTTTAGTTTAATCTGAATACAGATAACATTAAAAAAAGATTTTAAAAAGTCTATCACTAGTTCTCAGTATTATACACATATTTGTCACACTTCATTTAATTTGTGCAGTCTCACACTTAAAAAAATAAAACCATTGTTGTTTAAGGAAGGATTTAAAAATACTTTGGAATTCAGAGAATATTTCATCCATAATCAGTATTATTTGCCACCTTTATCTGCTTGAAGATTATGGTATTGGAATCATTTAATATTTCAGTGTTTTGTTTAGCAGTAAAGCAGCAGCTAACACTTGCATTGTTTTATGGTTATTTGAATAAGTTAGCATAAATGAAATTTATCTGTACATATGTGTTTATGTGCTGGGTTGGAGCATATCTGTTCACATTCTACTTTTTTCTCTGAGCAAGATACCTTTGAAATTTCCCTGTGCATTACATGTCTCTCAGAGATGGAGTTGAAAAAAGCATAGCAAGGCTTCCATTCTTAGAAAACTGAGAATGTTAGCAACCAGACATAATAAGTAGGGAACCCATTCATGAATTCTTTATATGATTTCATATACAGAGGCATCTTCTTGGATCCAGTGTCATGAAAGGTCAGGTAGAATCATAGAAATCATAGAAAAGTGAAGTTGGAAGGGGCCTACAAGGCCATCAAGTCCAACCCCCTGCTCAACGTAGGAATCCAATCAAAGCATATCTGCCAGGTGATTATCTAAGTTTTTGTTGAATGCCTCCAGTGTTGGAGCACTCACCAACTCCCAAGGTAACTGATTCCACTGTCGTACAGCTCTAACAGTAGGTTTTTCCTGATATTCAACCGAAATCTGGCATCCTTTAACATCCTTTAACTTGATCCCGTTGCTGCGTGTCCTGTACTCTGGGATGATCAAGAACAGATCTTGCCCCTCCTCTGTATGACAGCCTTTCAGATACAGTGGTGCCCCGCTTGATCACGATAATCTGTTCCAGGAAAATCGCTGTTAAGCAAAATTGTTGTCAAGCGGAAAAAAAACCATTGGAATGCATTGAAAACTGGTCAGTGTGTTCCAATGGGAGAAATACCTCATCGTCCAGGTATGAAGATTGCCCATAGAGAACCGCTGATCAGCTGTTAAAAATCGCTGTCTTCCGAAGCAGGGATCCGGAAAGCAGCCATTTTGCGAAGGGAGAGAAGCCATTTTGCGGAACCGGAAAAATCATCGTATAGCGAACAAATGGTTCGCAAAGCAGGCTCCTAATCAACGTAATGTGGATTTCTCCCATTAGCGATTGCAAAAATGTCATCGTTAAGCGATTTTGTTGTCATGTGGGGTAAGTGTCTAGCGGGGCACCACTGTATTTGAAAAGTGCTATCATATCACCGTTCAGTCTTCTTTTCTCAAGGCTAAATATGACCAGTTCTTTCAGGTAGGCAGACAAGGTTGTTGCCTTTTTTTAAAATCATAGTGTGAGCGTTCAACTTTAGGCTCCTTTCTTCTTTCAAATAAACCAGGAGATTTTTGTAACTTTGAAATGGGTGAGGTTTACTGGGGTATTTAACAAATAACTGGTATCAACAAAATTCTCCCATTGTTTTTCTCCTGCCGACAATGTGTCAGTTAGAAGCTTCCATCCTTCAACTAGGAATGGGTTCCCTTCACCCACGTTCCATGGACCCGGCCAGTCTATCGAGGTGTTCATTGTCTGTCCAGTCTCTCCATCCAGTAGGGGTACGGTGCCATCGTCTCGGCCTTCGATCCACCCGGCCCGTCTGACCAAAGCAGGGGTCTCCCAGGGTCCTCCCTGTATCCCTTCCTCCTCATCTCGTTCACCCTCCATTCTATTCTCTCCCCCATTTCTCTTTCCGCTCTCTCTTTTTCATCTCTTAGCTTCCTCCGCCACTCCCTGGCTTCAGTTTCTCCCCAATAAGAGGGTCTTAGGGGAATTTCTCTCCTTCGCCTGTAGTCAGCCTCTTCCTCCGGGACTCTTTGTCTTTCCCATGCACCGGTCCAAGGGTCCTTCATCCAGACCCATTCCCAACCTGGCGGCAACTGTTCCTCCCTCCTCTTTATATCCGCTGCCCCCGCCTCTATCTCCACCGTTTTCTTACGCTCTACTCCCACCGTTTTCCCCTCAGTTCCTTTGACGGTTAACTTTCGTGTTTCTCTCTCCATTTCCTGTGCGTTTGTCCTTCGCTGCTTCATCCTTTCGGGAGATGAGGTGGATGAGGTCTGTACCTCTTTTTTGACTGTAAGGGGGAGGGACGGCACTCCGGCAAGAGGACTACTACTCTCGCCCCCGTCACACACATAGGAACATATTTTGATAAATAACAGTGTCCACAGTTTTATTGACTAAGGTTAATGACATTTAGTCTTCGTCAATAAAACGTATGTCCTGAAGCAATACACAGAAGGATAAAAATTCACAATTCAAGAACTTCTATCATTATAGCATTAAGATGGGAAAATAGCCATTCTAAGTGATTTTTCCTCCTTATACATAGGTTTTCTGATCCCTTTTTTCATCTGTTTATATGTATGGTGCTTTGTGAGCATGTGTATTGTGCAATTTTATCGCCAAGTAAGGCAAAGCATTTTCTTTCATCAACAGTTTATGTAGTACCACAGTACTATACTTCTGCCTGCTGATTTAATTTCTATGTATTTTTAAAAAATTTAAAATAATGGCATCCCTGTTGGTGAGGAGGGAATATTTTCACTTCTGTGAATATGTGTGGCTTTGTGCGAAAATATCTACAGTCAGTGTTGCAAGGTTTCAGGGGATTCCAACTTCTAGGACGCTACTGCCAATAATGTGCTGAGAGAAGGGATGCTAGAAAATATTGTCCAATGACATCAAAGCTTGGGAAAAAATTTTATACTTTGTCTCCCACGTTCCTCCAGCCAGCATGGTCAAACCTGAAAACCATTGTACAAAAAATGTGTTGTTTTTTTCCCCAGATTCTGCTGAATATTCTTGCTCCAATTTTCTGTTTTATACCCTATTTATCTTTACCTGTCAGATTCTTAAAGCAAAGACTGGTGACATAGTGAATCCCATTTTAAATGTTAGCATTCTTATCCTGTTTTTGAGATTCCACCATCCACAACATTTCTTTAAGGAACTATATTTACTATTTTTCTGCCATCATGCAATTACACAAGCATTTGACATACAAAAATAATTTTTGTAAAAAATAAAATTTGTAGGGACAAGTATGTATGTATGTATGTGTAAGTATATGTCTATTCAGTTGCTGTGTGTAAGCTCCAATCAGTTAGGTGGAAAGAAATTGAGTAAATTATATATTGAACTACTAACTGGTGCGGAGGCCTTGTGGTTTCCATGGTAACTGGGCTGGAAATAGCTTCATGTGACATCAGAATGATACAGGTATAGTCACTCCAGCTTCAACCCCCATCCCCAACAAGTGAGCACTGTAGGTACAAATATAATGTACATTATTAGTAAATACTAATATACTGAAAACTGCATGCAGCATATGCAGATATTCAGATGAATTGGGCACTGGGTGCTGCTATTTCTAGCTAATGAATAAAATGGTTTCGGAATATGCTTGAAAGATATATAGTTTCTCTTAAAGGTAAGAAAATGGAAGTATGTCCCTCCCCTCCATTCAGTATTTGCATTTTGTCTATCAAACATCTTTGAGCTTTCGTAGGGGAAAATGTATGTTTTTTTTTGTAATTGATTGCAGCAGGCTAGTAAGGCTAGGATACTTGTGGCAAGCTAAAAGGAAAATCTTACATTTACTGTTCCCAAAAACCATTCCTAATGCAACAGCATGAAACCTAGGCTTAATGTAGAAGCTGCTATAGCTGGCTTCTATGTGTGCATGTATGCTGAAGACCAATATGGTAGCTCCCTTACAACTTGTCACCCGTTGCAGATAAAGGAGAACAATGGAAATAGTTTTTTGAAGAAAGGGGAAGTGTGGTAAGTGTGGTAAGTGTGAATTCACAGAAAAGTCACAAGAGAATAAGATGCAATCATGCTTTTCAACCTATCTATTGTCCCCCACAGTTAATTTTAAATACTGGTTTGGTGCACTG